TGCTATTCTTGCTCATTGTGCTGATTACACCCCACTTTGGCTATGGGGGTGTGTCAGAATGTTATAATTATCTAGCCTGTAGTGGGGTGCTCCATGGCGAGTACAACCTTGTTAGGGTTTGCTATATGTATACCAACTGCTCCTAGTGAAACCCCCTCCTTTCTTCATTCTTACTTTCTACTGCTAGTTTTGACATGCCGTCTGGGAGCCTTCTGTCGTGCACAGGGCATCCGCCAGACCTTCACGCTTCCGGCCTCTCCACAGCAAAATGGGATTGCTGAGCGCCGCATTGGGCATGGTCATGGACGTCGCTCTTACGTCCATGATGCATGCGGCTGCCCCCCATTTTCTGTGGCCATTTGAGTTTCAGTACGCCGCGCATCAGCTCAACCTTCAGCCCCGGGTCTCCTTGTCAGAGACCTCCCCCGCCTTGAGGTGGACCGGGAAGGTTGGCGATGCGTCTGCGTTTCGGGTCTGGGGATCTCAGGCGTTTGTCCGCAACTTGTCTGCGGACAAGCTGTCCCCCCGTGCTGTTCCCTGTCGTCTTCCTTGGCTTCCCCCCTTACGCGCCTGGGTGGCAGTTTTACCACCCCACCTCGCGCCGTGTTCTGTCCTCCCAGGACGTCACCTTTGACGAGTCGGTGCCTTACTACCGTCTCTTCCACTACCGCACTGCGCCCCTCCCCCCGCCGCCGCTCTTCCTTGCACTAGGTCCTCCCCCGGTAGACCCCCTCCCCCCTCAGGGTCCTGCCCTGTCAGGTGTGTCCCAGGTAGACGCAGTCGAGCCTGTCGAGGTAGCTGTTGACTCTGATGCTGCTAGAGGTGCTGAGCCTGCGGGTGCCGGGTCTAGGGGTGCTGAGACTAGGGGTGCTGACCCTGGGGGTGCGGAGTTTGGGGGTACTGAGATTGGGGGTGCTGAGTCAGGGAGTGCTGAGCCTGGGGGTGCTGGGTGTGGGGGTGCGGAGCCTGGGGGTGCGGAGCCTGCAGGTGCGGAGCCTGGGGGTGCCGAGCCTGGAGGCGCTGGGTCTGCTCGTGTGGCCGCCGGCGGTGCTTCGTCGAGGCGGAAGCCACTCTCTCCACAGGAGCTGAGCGAGTGGTTTGCCCGCCGCTGGAGACGTGCTGCTGAGACAGGGGGTGCTTGCTGGGGCTACTGGAGTTGGTCCTGTTGGAGCTACTGGCGGTACTAGTGCTACTAGAGCTGGAACTGCTGGGGGTGTTAGCGCTGGTGTTTCTACTGGCGCTGGTGCGTCTGGGGGTGCTACTGAGGCTGCTTGGAGCTAACGGTCCTACTGGAGTTGGTGCTGCTGGAGCTGGAGCTACTAGGGGTGTTGGCGCTGGCGGTGCTGCTGGCGCTGGTGCTTCTGAGGGTGCTGGAGTTGGCGCTGTTGGAGCTGGAGGTGCTGTTGGCGCTGGTACTGCCGCTGGGGGTACTGGTGCCGTCCTTGCTGGCTCTGGAGGCGCTGAGCGGCCGAGGCCGTACTTCATTCCGCTCCTGGAGTAGGTTCCTTGTCTCCCGCCCTCTCCTGGTCCTGCTCCTTCCTTAGAGTGTCCACAGCCTGTCCAGTCGCAGTCACAGTTACAGCCCGCCTCCCCTCTACCTGCTCCCTTCTCCCTACACTGGTCCTACTAGAGGTCTTGCTGAGCGTCGTGAGCCTGTGTCTCGTCCTGCGTCGCCTGTTCGCACTGCTCGCACTAGTCGTCGTGTTCCGCGTCCGCGTCCTCCTGCGGTTCCGGGCACACACCAGATGGCACTGCGTCCTTCCACTGCTCCCCTTCGTGTCTTGTTGCCGTCTCCTCCAGAGTCCTCTCTTCCTGTCCTTGCTGACCCGGAGTCTGACTCTCTTCGTGCTGCCAGTCCTACTGTCACGCGTCTCCTGGCCACTGTTCTCACTGACCCTTCCTTTGAGTCCACTGCTGAGTCTTCCTTAGTGGCTGAGCTTGTCGACTTCGCTGCTTGCTGTCCTCTAGACCACGCCACTAGTCTTGTTGCTGAGTCCGAGTCTGTCTGTCCTCCGTTCGTCGGGGGTGGGTGTGCTCTTAGCACGGACGTCCTTGAGGACAGGCAGGAGGAGTTCCAGTGTTTTGCTGCTGCTTTGCCTCATCTCGTGTCTACGCTGATTGCCCCTGAGGGAGACCCGGATGCACCAGACATCCCGACCCCTCGATCATACGCTGAGGCGATCAAGAGTCCCTACTCTTCTCAGTGGCAGTCAGCCATGGACGCAGAGATGGCTTCGTGGAAGTCCACAGACACCTACGTCGACAAGGTTCCCCCACCTAGGGCGAACATCGTCAGTGGCATGTGGATTTTCAGGGTGAAGCGGCCGCCGGGCTCTCCGCCTGTCTTCAAGGCACGTTACGTGGCTCGAGGCTTCAGTCAGCGGCACGGAGTTGACTACTTTCAGACCTTCTCTCCTACCCCGAAGATGACCACTCTTCGGGTGCTACTGCACATAGCCGCTCAGCGCGACTACGAGCTTCACTCTCTTGACTGGAGCACAGCTTTCCTGCAGGGCAGGCTGCACGAGGAGATCTGGCTGCGCCGCCCACCTGGCTTCACTGGGTCGTTTCCTCCTGGTACCCAGTGGAGCCTCCGGCGGCCAGTCTACGGTCTCCGCTAGGCGCCCCGTGAGTGGCACGACACAGTGAGGACTACACTTGCGGCTCTTGGGTTTGCTCCTTCTACAGCCGACCCGTCGCTGTTTCTGCACACTGACACCTCTTTGCCACCGTTCTACATCCTCGTGTACGTCGACGACTTGGTCTTTGCCACTGCTGACACTGCTGGACTCGCCCACGTGAAGTCCGAGCTGCAGAAGAGACACACGTGCACAGACCTGGGTGAACGGCGCAGCTACCTTGACTTGCTGATCACCCGGGACAGAGCACAGCGCACCATTACCCTGACTCAGTCACACATGGTGCAGCAGGTCCTTCAGCGCTTCGGCTTCGCGTACTCTTCGCCTCAGGCCACTCCTCTGTCTACTCGCCACTCGCTCTCAGCTCTGCCTTCGGATGAGTCCGTAGAGCCGAGTAGCCCGTACCCAGAGCTTGTTGGCTGCCTCATGTACCTGATGACCTGCACACGACCTGACCTTGCATACCCTCTTAGCATCTTGGCACGCTATGTTGCTCCTGGGAGACACCGACCAGAGCACATGGCTGCAGCGAAGAGGGTGTTGCGCTACGTGTGCAGTACGTCGGGCATGGGGCTAGTGCTTGGAGGGCGACGTCGAGTGGTCCTCACAGGTCACGCTGACGCTTCTTGGGCTGACGACCAGGCTCTGCAGCGGTCGTCACAGAGTTACACCTTCAGCCTTGGCTCCGGCTCTGTTTCGTGGCGGTCTACCCGCTCGTCTTCTATTCTCAGCTCCAGCTGTGAGGCTGAGATCTACGCAGGGGCCATGGCTGCACAGGAGCTATACTGGCTCACCTACATGCTGACTGACCTAGGAGAGCCGTCTCGTTCTCCTCCAGTGCTGTACGTAGACAACAAGGCCATGCTGGCCTTGTGTCGGGAGCACAGACTGGAGCACAGAGCGAAGCACATTGCTCTCCGCTACTTCCTGGCTCGTGAGCTGCAGCAACGTGGTCAGCTCCGCCTCACCTACGTGGCCTCTGAGGCCAACACTGCTGATATCTTCACCAAGGCCCTTCCGCCTAGTGATCATCAGCGCTTCTGTACTTAGCTAGGTCTTGTGCCTACCTGGCCTCACTTGCTCACTTCTTGATCTTGTTTGTACTGTACTCTTTCTATACCTGCACTTGCCTGTTTACCTTTTTATATATGATCTTGCATGTGAACTGGCCTTGTGGCCTTGCTCTTGTGCTCGGACTGTGTGGTGACTTTGTGATCCACCCTGAGCTTGCTTTGCTTTGCTTGACTGGTCTTGTGACCACTTGTTCTCCCCCACTTTGCCTATGGGGGTGTGTCAGAACATTATAGCTTATACATCTGTGTAGGCTGTAGTGGGGTAGCCCATAAGGGGTACAACCCAATTAGGGTTAGTACTTGTACCAAACTGTTTCATAGTTCAATCATTCTCTCGTTCTAAGTTTCACATTATCGCGGTGGAATTTCTCGGACACTGAGTGGGGCAACCCATTTGGTGCTACTGTCGCGGACATCATGCACGTGCTGGACTCTGGGATGGTGCTGCACTTGCTGGAGAACCACATCGCTGTTCTTTCCAAGCCACAGAGGCGAGAAGTCGAGAGGTTAGTCGTATTGTAAACCTGGGATATGGGCGGAACATAGAGCAGAATGACGTGAGCACGATGTGAAGTGAATGCATGTGTTTAGGGTTACACAGGGAGGTCCTATGTTAATCCCTGAGAGCACCCCTTTCCGGGCCCTCCACCCCTCCAGGCGCAAGAAGACAACTAAAGGAGAGACACCAAGTGTTCTATTTCGTCTACCCGGAGGCAGTTCCTACTTCATGAGTGGGGGCCAACTACACAGCCTTCGAACACCGCAGCATGATGCAAGTGATGCCAATTTTGGTGGCCGACAAGTCTGCGCTGCAAGCAGGAGAGGCGGGAGACCTGGCTGCGCTCCGCGTGCGTGCGTTCAGGATGTACGCAGCCTTCTACAAGGCGTTTCTGGGTGTCAGCGGACACACGGACTCCTCTCTCCGCCATCGCCCGTGGACACGCCATCAAGTATGGAGTATAATCCGGGCGTAGGTATAGTGGACGCAGAGTTGGGTGCTTGCTGTCACTTACCGCATCTTTGATTTGCGTGTTCGTTTCTCCGACGGGACGTGGCATGATCCACAGGCTGGTCGAGATGCAGGCGTATCCGGATCATGCATCGCATTGGCGCTTTCCAAAGATTCACATGATTGTCCACATGGTGGACAATGTGATCATGCGCGAAATGCCGCACCACTACAGCACGGAGATGTGGGAGCATACCCACAAGGGGACGGTCAAGATCCTGGTCAGGGGCAGCAAATGGAAGGACATCCCCCGACGCATCGTGGAGGAGGAGGTGCAGAGAGAGATCTGCAGGGAGGTGGCACAGGACGCGGGTGGCGGGCGTGAGTATGCGACGGCGCTGTGCGAGGTGAGACTGTGCGTAGCATATCCCATGCATGACTGTATGATCGTTGGACACGTGAATACCGCGTGACTTGTCTGCGGACACGATCGCGACATACCCATTGCCTTCCACACCCGCAGGCTGTTGAGACGATGAAGCCCGTGCTCACGAGGAAGGGACTCACAATGTGGCCGGCGGAGGAGGGAGATGCGGTGATGGGTACCTACCGTACGGCACTTGGCGACCTCATGGATGCGCTACCAGGCAGCATGGTGGCTGCCAAGATCACCGCATCTAAGGTCGTGGTGCGTACACATGTGCAAGTGTATCCTCCACCAAAGTTGTTCTTGAGTGCTTAGGCTCCGTATGTGTGCGTATCGAGTATACACCCGATCTTGCTCCTTATCCCAATGCCCCACTCATGTAGGCCCACACCGCGGTGGCGATTCCGCGCACCAAAGGCGGAGCACTGGTCCCCAAGGGGGCGTTCATCAAGGCAAGCCCCAAGCACTCTGACTTTGCAGTGAAGTCAGGCAAGAAGGAGGAGTGGTATGCGAAGGCGCTGTGTATTTTCAAGGTGGCGACGACAGAGGGCGACCGGAAGAGGTTTGTGTACGTGCGGTGGTATGAGAGGGCAGGCATATTCCCCCTCACCACCTGCGTGCAGTCAACACCGTCACGCAAAGACACAAGGCACGCAGTGATTGAGGTGGAGAGCATTCTGCGAGTTGTGCACATTTGCCGCTCTTTCAGCAACCCTGCAGTGTTGCTGCTGAACAAGTTTCTTCTGTGTGAGTGATATTGAGGTGGGGGTGTGAGGAGGCGTTTGAGGGTTGTGGTGTGCATATGCTGCAGTCATTTTCACAGCTGGCTACTAAAACTGTAGAATTACACGCCGTAGTCGCATGATGAAAGACGGGTTGTCACTTGGGCGATCTAGAGACCAACACATAGAGCGCCATGACCGCAACTGTAGTGCCGTGGTGTCTACATGCTTATGCGATCTTTGTAGCTGTTATCAGAACACTCTAGTCTCTTTGAATTGTGAGTGTACTTAACTTAGGCGAGACAGAGGGGTATGCTGTATTGCGCACTGAGTGAAACTGCAAACCCCTGGGGGGCGCGGTTTGGTGTTGCAAGCTACAGGTACGTGGCACGCCCGCGTTCCGGCGAGGGACGGAGTCACGGTTGGGGCGTGGGTGTAATCAGAAAGACGCACAACCATTGGTGCGCAGGTTCGTATCATTGGTGGACACTATTGGGGGGTATACCAAGTGCGATTGCTTTCTGGGTACGGGGTTCTAATGGTATGCTGATGTGGCACAAGTGTGGCCTCAGTTGTTAATACAGCAAGAACCGCAAAGCACAAAGAAACCCATGCACTTGCCGGGATTGTGTTTCACCCAGCGTTGCAGCATACTTTTTTTAAGAAATGGCGTCCCTGGTATCCCTCCTTGAGGCATTGAAGGCACCGCCCGAAAAGGTGTTCACTTTCACGGAGTTTCCGTTAATCCCCACACGGGTGCCGTTAGGCACGTCTGTGGACGAGCGTGAGCAGCTATCGCGGGAATGGCACATGCCCGTATGCTTTGTGTACAACGCGACAGGATGTGTCCGCAAACCGCCGATCGTTGTTCTACGACGGGACGACAAGAGGCCAGTACATGAGGGGCGCAAGAAGAATCATGACGTGAAAGTGCGCTACGCCAAGAATGGGCGCTTTTCTAGCGAGGTGAGCGGGTTCAAAGGTGGGATTTGTAGGTTGATCGTCATTGTTTTTTGAGGTGCAATTTTGGTGACCGTCGTTCCGTACTCATGTCGTCACCACGGACATCCGCCGTGTTGTGTGCGCAGTTGTTCTCTGAGTTCGTCGACGAGTTAAACGGGGAGTTGCATGCGAAGAACGAGAAGGCGGTGGTGTTGGTGCACAACCCTTCGCACACCCTCACCGGGTGTGTGAAACGGACAAGCACAGTGGAGGGGTTTGTCGTGGAGGAGCTGACACGGGTGAAGGTTGTGCAGACATTTGGCGTGATGCCGGCTGCTGCGTTTTCTGCGATAAATGGTGTTGTGGACACATTGAAGGCAGTTTTTCGGACGTGGTTTCGGCGAACGGCAGTCACGAGCACGGAGTGGACCCGTGCGGGCATTTTTCCACAGCCGCCGCTGCACGATGTCCTGTACAAGCTGTTCATGGCGTGCAAGTTGACGATGCCGGGGACAATCCAGAGGAGTTGGTGGCGGGCCGGTAGCGTGCCGAAGGGCTGGCTGTTGCGGATGGACAACTTGAAAGGGAAAGCTGCGGCAGGGATGTTTGACGGTCTGGTACTGCAGTTGACGAGGCTGCAGCTGGTGATTGAAGAGTTCATATGCAAGTGCAGCAGCACGGCGTTTATGACGGCGTGGGATTTCGTGGGGTGTGACGAAGGCCTGATTGAGAAGTGGGCGCCAGCGAGGGGTTTCGAGGACGAGTCCGAGGATGAGATTCCGACATATTTTTGCATTCCGGAGGGGCCGCTAATGCGCGACAGCCGTAGCTGTCGTCGCGTGAGCCGCATGGTCCATGATTGTTTCGTGAAGCAGGCGGAGGCATTGGGTATTCCACCGCGCGACGTGCCAGAGGAGGCCGGAGTGGTGAATGAGGAGGTGGTGAGCCGCCTTCAACGCACGCCCACTAAGCGCAACCGGATGGGCCGCTATAGTGATGAGGGGATCACGTCTCACGCGTCGGATGAGGCAGGCCAATCCCGGAAGGCAGGGGTGCTGTTCCCAGTGGAGGATGACAAAGAGAGCGTCGTACGCTTGGTCAAGGGCTATAGGGTGGCTATGCTTTATCATTGTGGTATGGGGGGGCTGAACATAGGGAGCACTATGTGACGGTGGCGTCACAATGTTTTAGCTAATGTGTGTGTACGGATTGCATGAGCTGTGAATTGGGCGATATTATTTCCATCTGTTGTGTTTGCTACTCAATAACGAATGCACTTCTGTTTCACGTGTGTTGCTTTGTCGGTTAGCGTTTATGTGAGAATAAGCGAACAGGAATGAATGAACTAGCAGTGAAAATGAGTACAAGTAGGAAACCCTAGAATTGTGTACCTCCTATAGGCTAACCCACTGTAGCCTACACAAGCATAACATATATAATGTTTGACACACCCCCATAGGCAAAGTGGAGGAGAACAAGGGGTCACAAGACCAGTCAAGCAAAGCAAAGCAAGCTCAGGGTGGATCACAAAGTCACCACACAGTCCGAGCACAAGAGCAGGGCCAGAGGCCAGTTCACATGCAGGAGTACAGACATATATATAAAACTAGACAAGCAAGAGCAGGTATATATATATGTCACAGTACAAGTGAAGTCAAGAGGAGAGCAAGTGAGGCAAGACGGGCACAAGACCCAGCTGGGTGCAAAAGCGCTGATGGTCACAAGGCGCGAGTGCCTTGGTGAACACATCAGCAGTGTTAGCCTCAGAGGCCACGTACGCAAGTCGCAACTGACCACGCTGCTGCAGCTCACGAGCAAGGAAGTAGCGAAGAGCAATGTGCTTCGTTCTGTGCTCCAAGCGCTGCTCTCGACACAAGGCCAGCATGGCCTTGTTGTCTACGTACAGCACTGGAGGAGAACGAGGCGGCTCTCCAAGGTCAGTCAACAGGTAGGTGAGCCAGCGAAGCTCCTGTGCAGCCATGGCCCCGGCGTAGATCTCAGCCTCACAACTGGAGCCGAGAACCGAAGACGAGCGAGTAGACCGCCACGAGACAGAGCCGGAACCAAGGCTGAAGGTGTAACCCTGTGACGACCGCTGCGTAGCCTGGTCGTCAGCCCAAGAAGCGTCCGCGTGGCCGGTAAGGACCACTGGACTCCGCCCTCCAAGCACTAGCCCCATGCCCGCGTACTGCACAGGTAGCGCAATACCCTCTTCGCTGCAGCCATGTGCTCTGGTCTGTGTCTCCCAGGAGCAACATAGCGTGCAAGAATGCTCAGAGGGTATGCAAGGTCAGGTCGTGTGCAGGTCATCAGGTACATGAGGCAGCCAACAAGCTCTGCATACGGACCACTCGACTCTACGGACTCATCCGAAGGCAGAGCTGAGAGTGAGTGGCGAGTAGGCAGAGGAGTGGCCTGAGGCGAGGAGTACGTGAAGCCGAAGCGCTGAAGGACCTGCTGCACCATGTGTGACTGAGTCAAGGTAATGGTGCGGCGTGCTCTGTCCCGAGTGATCTGCAAGCCAAGGTAGCTGCGCAGTTCACCCAGGTCTGTGCACGTGTGTCTCTTCAGCAGCTCGGACTTCACGTAGGCGAGTCCAGCAGTGTCCGCTGTGGCAAAGACCAAGTCGTCGACGTACACGAGGATGTAGAACGGCGGCAGGGAAGTGTCGGTGCGAAGAAACAGCGACGGGTCAGCAGTAGAAGGAGCAAACCCAAGAGCCGCAAGCGTAGTCCTCAGTGTGTCGTGCCACTCACGCGGTGCCTGGCGGAGACCGTAGACTGGCCGTCGGAGGCTCCACTGGGTGCCAGGAGGGAAAGTCCCAGTGAAGCCAGGTGGACGGCGAAGCCAGATCTCCTCGTGCAGGCTACCCTGCAAGAACGCAGTGCTGAAGTCGAGAGAGTGAAGCTCGTAGTCGCGCTGAGCGGCTATGTGCAGCAGCACCCGAAGAGTAGTCATCTTCGGGGTGGGAGAGAAGGTCTGAAAGTAGTCAACTCCCTGCCGCTGACTGAAGCCACGAGCAACGTACCGTGCCTTGAAGACAGGTGGAGAGCCCGGCGGCCGCTTCACCCTGAAGATCCACATGCCACTGACGATGTTCGCCCCAGGAGGGGGAACCGCGTCAACGTAGGTGCCTGTGGACTTCCAGGAAGCCATCTCTGCATCCATAGCTGCCTGCCACTGAGAGGAGTAGGGACCCTCTACGGCCTCCGCGTAAGAACGCGGAGTCGGGATGTCTAGTGCATCCGGGTCTCCCTCAGGGGCAAGCAGTACAGACGCGAGATGAGGTGAAGGAGCCGCTAGACACTGTAACTCCTCCTGCCTGTCCTCTAGGACGTCCGTGCCAAGAGCACACTCACCCTCGACGGACGGAGGACAGACAGACGCAGACTCAGCAACAAGACTAGCAGCGTAGTCGAGACGACAGCGAGCAGCAAAGTCGACGAGCTCAGCGACTAGAGCAGACGCAGCAGTGGACTCAAAAGAGGGGTCAGTGACGACAGTAGCAAGCAGACGCGTGACAGTAGGACTGGCAGCACGAAGAGAGTCCGACTCAGGGTCGGCAAGCGCAGGAAGAGAGGACTCAGGAGGAGAAGGCAAAGGGGCACGCAGAGGAGCAGTGGACGGACGCAAAGACATCCGGTGCGTGCCAGGGACAGGAGGAGGACGCTGACGCGAACTGCGACCACTAGCGCGACCACTAGCGCGAGCAGCACGAACAGGCGACGCGGGACGAGACGCAGGCTCACGACGCTCAGCAAGACCTCCAATAGGACCAGTGTAAGGAGAGGGAGCAGGCAGTGGAGAGGAAGGCTCCAGCAGGGACTGCGACTGGACAGGCGGTGGACCCTCTACTGGAGGAGAAAGACCAAGAACCTGCTGCAGGAGCGGAACGAAGTACGGCCGAGGCCGCGCGGCAGCTCCAGACTCAGCAGGGACAGCACCAGCCCCAGCGCCACCCACACCTCCAGCGGCAGGACCAACAGTAGTAGACTCAGCACCAACGCCCTCAGCAGCTCCAGCTCCAGGAGGACCCGCAGGTCCAGCAGCTCCGGGACCGGCAGCACCCGCACCCTCGACGGTCGAAGAAGCTCCAGCTCCAGCTCCAGCAGCACCTCCAGACTCAGCAGCACGCCTCCAGCGGCGAGCGAACCACTCGCGCAGCTCCTGTGGAGAGAGGGGCTCCCGGCGAGACGCAGCAGCAGGAGAAACCCCAGGCTCAGCAGCTCCACACGCAGCACCCCCAGGCTCAGCAGCTCCCAGCTCAGCACCCCCAGGCTCAGCAGCTCCCGACCCAGCACCCCCAGACCCAGCACCTCCAGGCACAGCACCCCCCGGCTCAGCACCCCCAGGCTCCGCACCCTCCGCAGTAGCACCCCCAGGCTTAGCACCCCCGCGCACAGCACCCCCAGAGTCAGCACCCCCAGGCTCAGCACCCACAGCAGCACCAGAGTCACCATTAACCTCGACCGGGTCAGCGGCGTCTACCTGGGACACACCTGAGGGGGCAGGAACCTGAGGGGGGAGGGGGTCTACCGGGGGGGGAACCGGCACAAGGAAGTCCGGGGGAGGGGGGAGGGAAGGAGTGCGGTAGGGGAAGAGACGGTAGAAGGGGACTGACTCGTCGAACGTGACGTCCTGGGAGGACAGAACACGACGAGAGGAGGGGTGGTAAAACTGCCACCCTGGGGCGTCAGTGGGGAAGCCAAGGAAGACACAGGGAGCAGCACGAGGGGACAGCTTGTCCGCAGACAAGTCGCGGACAAACGCCCGAGATCCCCAGACACGGAACACAGACGCATCGCCAACCTTCCCCGTCCACAGCAAGGCTGGGGACATCGCAGGCCGAGAGACCCGGGGGTGAAGGTTGAGCTGATGCGCCGCGTACCTCACCGCAAACGGCCACAGAAAATGGGGGGCAGCCGCATGCATCATGGACGTACGAGCGACATCCATGACCATGCCAATGCGGCGCTCAGCAATCCCATTTTGCTGTGGTGAGTCCGGAAGCGTGAAGGTCTGGCGGATCCCCCGTGCACGACAGTAGTCTCGCAGAAGGCGAGAAGAGAACTCTCCGCCTCTGTCCGAGTGCAGACGCAGAACAGGAAAGTCCGAGCCGAAGCTCTTCCTGAGCTGGAGACGAGCCTCGCGGATCCAGTCGATCAGCACCTCAGTGACCGCACCCTTGCTGCGCAAGGGGAGGACTGTGGTGTAACGCGAGTAGTCGTCAACCACCAACAGGAAGTAGCGCTCGTGACCCTGCCCACGGACGGGGGCTGGGCCCCACACATCCATGTGAAGCGTCTGCAGGGGAGCCTCTGTCGGGGGGAAGTGGGAGGAGTGAGGAGTAGCCCGGAGGCGACCCTCGACACAGGGGACACAGGAAGGTCCTGGCCCGGAGGGGAGAGGAGGGAGAGACTGGGGAAGACCAGAGACAAGGACACGGGAAGCCATGCTCCGAAGACGGGGCAAGGAGGGGTGGCCAAGACGGTGGTGCCACAGGAGAGTCTCGTGAGACAGGAGGCGACAAGAACAGGGGGCAGACTCAGGACCTGACCGGGACGCAGCAGCAAGCACCTGACCTGACGCAGCCACCTGACCGGACGCAGGGACAGGAGGAGACGAAGTGGTCAGGGTGTAGAGACTCGACCCCGGCCGACGCGAGAAGGTGGCCAGGTGTCGGCCTGTGCGTGCGTCCGTGCAGTGGGTCACCCGCTGACTCGCAGGAGTGAACTGGTGAACCCCCGCATCCTGCAGGGCTGCACCACTCACCAAGTTCGTAGAGAACGAGGGAAGGTACAGACCAGACAGGGTGCCCGAAGGGGCAGCCGGACACGGGAGGACAGTGGAGAAGTGAGACAGGACAGGACCCCCAGAGGGGTCAGCAAGGGAGACTGCAACCGGCCGGCCGAGCGGCGTAAGGGTAGTGCGGTCTCGAAAGAAGGAGCGAGAAGCCTCGGAGTCAAGTGTGAAAGTGAGGGAGGACGAGGACGACGCAGTACCTGAGAGCGCAGTCTCACCAGTACCTGAGAGCGCAGACGCACTGGCACCTAGAGCAGCAGCCTCACAAGCACCTAGCGCAGCAGTACCAATGCCCGGGTCGGGCTGGAAACACCGGTAACCCTCATTCTCCTCACTATAAGTCACAGCATACATAGCAGCAAGGATAGCATCAAAATCAAGATCAAAGATCGCTACACCAGCCCTAAGAAGCTCATCCCAGTGAGGGATCTCACTAGCCCCAGGGAACTGCTGACGCCAAGCGTCCGTCAGGCGGCCAAAGCAGCGCTGGGTGGCGTGGGCACCCCCACACTGCTCACCCGCGCGGTCGCCGTAACGAAGAACGTAGGTGCAGGGACCAGTACCCCCACCCCTCTGACGCCCAGCGTACCACTCACGAAGCTGCTGAGGCGGAGGGATGTCCCGCGAGCGCTGCTGCTGCTGCCGCTGCGAGCGCTGGCCACCACCACCGCCGCTACGCTGCTGGGTACCACCCCGACCAGCTCCACCTCCTCCACTACCACCGCCTCCTCCGCTGCCGCCTCCACCGCCTCCACCTCCGCCGCCTCCACCTCCGCCGCTGCCTCCACCACCACCGCTGGCACCACCACCACCGTCTCCGCCGCTGCTGCCACCACCACCACCACCCCCGCCACTAGTCCCGCCGCCACCCCCACTCCCTCCGCCGCCACCGCCGCCACCGCCACCGCCCCCTCCAGCTCCACCCGCGCCCTTGCCCCCCTTGCCCTTGCTGGAGCGACGTCTCCCACTAGGGGCAGACGCCGCGCCGACCGACTCAAGACCAAGCAGGTCGGCAGCAGCAGCAGAGGCAACAGAGGGCAGCAAGGGGGACAATGAGTACAAGTAGGAAACCCTAGAATTGTGTACCCCCTATAGGCTAACCCACTGTAGCCTACACAAGCATAACATATATAATGTTTGACAGTTTAGTAGTTCGGGAATAGGCTGTAAACCCTAAGGGGATCGTTCTCGCGGCAGTGTACAAACACATAACGCAAAACACAAGCGAGTGTTCCTTGTATGCGGTGCCAAGGTGTGCTTTTTCGTCGAACCGAGTCTGCCAATGTGCGAGATTTCCCGAGCCGCTCTGGAATTTGGACGTTCCGAAGCGCAAACCGCCTGGCATCCGGCTGCCTTTCTCAGTGTGCAGGACTTAGTGGCATTTTGGGTAAGATGCAATTTCGGGTTGTTGTTTTGCAGATACTTTTCTGCAGCTTTTGTGCAACTTTCCTGCAACTCTGAGACTTTAACTCGAAAATTGGCCAAACCCTTTTTCGCGATGTGGCTCGCGACGAGTCGGTTCATCGCAGATGGCTCTTCTCGCGGGCGACGAGCTCTTGCGAGGCAGCGATTCCAATCGGCGACGCGTAGTGACGCCATTGCGAGCGCAGCGAAGCCAACCAGGTTAGTCCGCGCAGTTCCCTTCAATCCACTCGTCGCTCATCTTTTCGCGTAGATAAACGTATTCCTAGTTGCCTTCGCGTATTTTCGTCTTCTCACCTTTCGAATTGGTCGCGTGTTCTACGTGGTATGGCAGGCGCGTTCGGCGATGCGCGTTCGCTCGCTCGCTCCGCAAGCCGCGCGCCTGCTGCGGTAGCTGCGCGACGGCGTGAACGCATGCGCGCAACGAATGGTGCGTCGCGCTCGCCTCTGGCGGACGTGGATTCACCGCGTAGCGCCGTGCTGCATGCCCCACCTCGCACCCTCGCTCACGTCACGGCGCGTGTTCGTCAGGTGAGCATTCCACCTGTCCGCTGATTGATCTGATTGACTTCCGCCGTCCCAACCAACAGCAATTCATTTGCTTGATGCCGATTCCGGAAATCACCCACATCACTGATGTCTATTTGAACGCCGTCTTGGTGGCATCGGTGGGACCTTGCTCTCTCTTCCCTCACCTGCTGCTGCCCTTCACTCTCGCTTCTCGCTTCCACTCTCTCACCATTCCCTTTCCTTGCCCATTCTCACTCGCCTCTTCGTCACAAAGAATTGGAGCACCCAAAAACGCCGGAAGGGCTACCATGCCTAGGTATGCTAAAAAAAAATATGTACGAAGTTGCCGCAAGGAATGCTCGATGAAACCCTAGAACACAACGAGTACATCTGGCACACTGTAAGGATTGCAACCCCTTTCCCAAACCATGAGAAAACGACTACCAAATGCACCAGTTACCGTGCGAAGGTGACTTCATGTTACTGTTTTCGTCGCAGCTGAAACTGTTATGCAAAATTTGTGACCTCGACTAAAGTGTACACCACAATAGCGTGGGGTACCGACCTGAACCTATATGCAGCCACTCAGTAGCGGGTACCCTTATCAAAAGGACTCTGACACGTCATTGCGAACCCACCCTCAGACGCGATGCTTTTTTCCAGCGCATATGAAGCACGTGTGCTGGAACTTGGTGACTAGCAACCCTGAGCAACAGTAACCACTTCGATCACACCTCGCCAGCCTCTCAAATAGCCCCATCCGTGCTATGCTGGCACAGCTGGCAACATAATCGAGACCTGCGACTCTGGGGAGGGAAGGGAAAGGGTGACCTTGAGCTTCAAAGGTGCCCTTTTCCAGGCATCGCGTTCAATTGTGCTTCACTGATGCATTCCCTTCCCAAACTCGTACCTTGGTGTCCTTCTGCTCCTTCGAATCTCTTCGAGCCACGTTACTCACCACCCCGCCCATTCCTCTATTCCCTTTTCCACGACGCCCCCTCTAGCAGATCACTCTGTCCGTCCGCTTTTGGCGCACGAGGCGGCATACAAACAGCGTTTCGCGATGGCCAGGTTCGTTTCTTCAGCTGAACATGTAAGTATTGCTGCAGGTTCGTTTCTTCAGCTCGTCGGGCTGCTTGTTTGCGCCCAATTGATGCGTGGCAGCACTCTTTCACCAGTGTTTTTGTTGCGCAGGTCTAATATCCCATTCTGGGATTTCGAGAAGATCGTATGCAGTTTCTGCCGCGTTTGCCGAATCGCATCTCCGAAGACGGTGTGAAGGGCACATCGCCCACTCTGCCTGAGGTCGCTGCTGTTCCCATCCCAATCCGCCGGTTACACCTCGCTAGAGGACAGCACGCTTGGGTGCGCTGAAGGATAACTGTCACTTCGCACATTTAGCCGCCAATCTGTCGCATCCATGCCTATGAAATGTCGTACACACTTTGATGTGCCCTTGCTGTGCGACAGGTTGAACTTGCCTCTGCTTCAATTACCGCTCATGCATGCTTATGTTTTGTCTAGCGCTCAAAATCGCCCATGCATGCTTATGTTTTGTCTAGCGCTCAAAATCGCCTATGTTCCAAACCTGTGCATTTTTTAACCTAAGAAACTACTCCGCAATGTATCACGCTGTTGTACCTAATCGTTGAATCGATGTTTTACCGTTTCGTTGTGCTCACGGTGTATGTTGGTCTAATCTACACAGTCCCAGCACCCTAAAATTCGTATCAATAAATGCAGTGGTTACCCGGTTTCCACGATTTGTGACAACCCATACCTCGTTATTGCCTCTCTTTTTATAGCCAGTTTTTATTTTTAGGTGTGCACGGAACATTGGTAATCGGAAAACGGTGCTCACCGTCAAGGGGGCAAAGAATGTCTCGAGAGTGTTAAAACAATCTCTAGGGTTTGTCCCAGAGGGATGCTGGCGCAGTCTCCCAACACTCCCGCCCCCTCTCCACGCATTGTTCATAATAATGTTAGTTGTATGTTGCCCAGAGGTACTTCAGACAGTCCCTTTGCAATGTATGTACATTGTTTTCGCCGCAATTTTTTTGTGACGTTTGCGTTCCCCTTCTCCTATCCCTCCCTGGCAGGTCACTGGCGCAGCTGCAGGCACAGGCAGCACGCAGCAGGCAACAGGCGACAGGCACACGCAGCACGCAGCATTCAGCAGGCAACACGCAGCAGGCAGCAGGGAGCGGGCAGCAGGCAGCAGGCAGCAGGGAGCGGGCAGCAGGCAGCAGGCAGCAGAGAGCACGCAGCAGGCAGCAGGGAGCGGGCAGCAGTGAAGCGTTGACTATCTCCGCCTTCAAGCTGAGTGCCTTGTACTCGCTGTTCAAGGTTTGCGCTGTTGCACTGTTTGCGTGTCGCATCCAAATCGGGGCACCCGTGAGGGCACAACTCGCGAGTCACAGACCACATCCCCACAAGAGCCGCTACCAACCTGAACCTGCACCTGAACCTGAACCTGAACCTGAGAGGAAGTGGGCTCGAGTGGAGTGTGGTGGCAGGGGCGATAATGCAACCTCAATCGTTGATGAGGCCCTTGCCTGTTTCAAGGCCTGCACTCACTCCCCTCCTGGCCTTCCCTTCCGTTCTGCCCCCCTCCAGGTCATCTCGCAATGCAGCAGAGGCAGCTGACGGGACAAGTTGTAGCAGCATCAGCAGTGGGGAGCACTGATGCAGCAGGGGAGGGGAGAGGAGGGAGGGGGACACAAGGCGGCATCTCTCGGCGGCTCTTCAGCTGCCAGCTAAGTGCTTTCGCCTCCCTGGACTCACTCTTGCCTGCTGCTCACTGCTCATGCTGAATCACTCTCTTCGCTTTCGCATGGCCTTCTGTGCTGTATCCCTGAAATATTTTCGCTGGTTGGGGGCCCGCTTCAAAAGCCACAGACCTTCTTTTATTCTTGGTAATCCCTCAGGTTAAGCCCTCCCTAGACTTTTACAGCCCAATCAGGTACAACCCCTACAGCAGGTTAATCCCCCCAGGTTCCCTCAAAGGTCTGTGGCTTGTGCTCTCGCCTTCACCAGTGGCCCCTCCCCTCGCATGTGCTGCTTTCAAACTTACAGCTTCCCAGTCAGAATCATTTCAGGATTGCAACACTCACAAGCTCTGTGCGTGCTCGTTGCAGGTGGAGGGGAGGGGCGCTGGGGTCAACACCGACACTTCCCCACCCCTCTCCCCGGTGGCCGTGCAGGAGGGAGGGAGGGAGGCAGCGCTGGGAGGGGACGGGAGGGAGGCAGCACTGCAGCAGGGCAACCCCACTGCTTAAAGGGAGAGTATGGGCTTGGGTCTTCCAAGGTAAGCCTCTCTCCAGCTCTTTTCTGCCACACTCACTTGTTGCTGTGGGTCTTTGGCGCTGCCTGCGATTTATCCTTCTGCTTCGCCCTTGCTCACCCCACGACCTTCACTCACTCGCCTCCTGTCCTTCCTTCTGTCTGCCCCCTTCCAATTCCCTCTTAATGCAGCAGAGGCAGCTCAGTGGCAGCAGCAGCAGCAGCAGCAGCAGCAGTGGCGGCGGCAGCAGCAGTGGCGGCGGCAGCAGCAGCAGGAGGGGAGGGAAGGGAAGGAGTCAACATCTTCAGCTGCCAGTTAAGTTCCTTCTCTTCCCTGGTATCACCCTTGCTTGCTGCTCTTTCCTCTCATTGCTGCCTGAATCATTTTCACATGTGCCTCCGCGCTTTCTCCCTAAACAACTCGCCACTGGTTGGGGCCCGATTTGCAAGCCACGGACCCTCCCCCTTAGCTCCTAAGCCCGTCAGGTCAAGCCCTCCCCAGGCCTTACACCCCCCTCAGGTTACCCCCTACTTCCAGGTCATTTTTCAGGTTCAGATTTTCACGTTCCCTTGATGGTCTGTGGCTTGTGATTCTCCCCTGCGCCAGTGGTCCCTTCCCTCCACTTGCGTGCGTTTGTGGTCCCAGCTGCCATGCCGGCCTTGTGTTATGATTGCACACTGACCATCTCTGCGTGTGTGCCTTGCAGGTGGAGGGGAGGGGCGCGTGGGTCAACACCGACACTCTCCCACGCCCCTCCCCTGTGGCCGTGCAGGTACCCACGGGGATGGGAGGGCGGCAGCACTGCAGCAGCTTGCAGTTGGTGCCACGAGGGAGAGTATCGGGGTGGGCTGGCCTCTCAAGGTGCGCTACCTCCCTCCTTCAAGTTCATTTGTTGCTGCAGTTCTCTCTGCATTGTTCCCTTGTTTCCTTTGTCAGCTTATGCGTTTTCCTGTTGACTTTAGTGTTTCTGTTCACGTCAAATCACTAACCTTCTGCCCATTCTCTCCTCCCCCTCCCCCTTCTCTGCCCGCCACCAGGTCACTTGGCATCAAGAGAAGATTGCAGCAGAGGAAGCAGAGTAGCAGGCCGGCAGCAGCAGTTGCAGCAGCAGAAGCAGCAGCGCAGCAGCAGTAGGGGGTGGGAGGCTGGGCAGGAGATTAGGCTAGGCATGGTGTGAGCAAGGTGTGGTAAAAGGTTTGGTATGGTACCAGGTGAGATATGGTGATCTGATTCCCTCCTCTCTCTCTTCCCCCTCTTCTCCCCTGCAGGCTGAAAGTGGGAGCACTGGAGCAAGGACGGGATAGTGGAGTCCTCCTCCTCTTTCCCTTCTCCCTTCCCTCCCAGCAGCACACTCCTGGACCACAGAGGAGTCTATCCCTCCCCTAATCCTCCATTCTCTCTCCACTTCCCAGCAGCCTCAGCATCATGGCGCTCTCCTCGTCTGAGGTAGGTACAGGTGAGTACGCATGGGGGTGAAGTGTGGGGAGGGTGGGTGGGGGTGTGGGAGCAAGCGGGGAGTTCACTGCCTTAGGGGCAGCATCCTCTGGGGTTGTGACTTGTGAGTCGGGGTGTGGTGGGTGGAATCTGTGCGGCACGGCACTCGGTGCTCAAGTAACCAATCTGACGTTATGGCTTAATGGGCACCGTCAGAGCCGACCGGCCGGCGGCTCTGGTTCGCGTCAGCTCTAGCTACGTCAGGGGCGGGATTTGAGTCTTGGGCTGGAAGCAATTTTCCACCACACTTCATCACACAAGGCTCAGCCTCAGGGGTTGCTGTTTCCTTAAGGAAGTGGGCTCTCTGCTGCTCCTACTGCTGGCAGGTAAAGTTGGGGATGGGCTGGGTGGGTGAGTGAGGGAGAAGGGAGCTGAATTTCGTTGTGTGGGTGAGTGAGAGAGACAGGGCCTGAATCGCGTTGGTTGGGTAAGTGAGAGAGAAGGGTACTGAATTCCCTTGAGTGGGTGAGTGAGAGAGAAGGGGGCGGAATCCCCTTGGGTGGGTGGGTAGGTTATGTATGAGACAGAGTGGGTGGGATAGGGTTGGGTGGGATGAGGCGGGTAAGGTGGGTAGGTTGGTAAGGTGGTTGGTTTTGGTGGGTCAGTGGGATGGTGGGTAGATGGTTCGTTGGGTATGTGGGCGGGTGGGTAGCTGGGTGGTTGAGAGGTGGGCAGGCGGGTGGGCAGGTGGTCGGTAGGTGGGTGGATAGGTGGGTGGTTGATGGGTTGGGTGAGTTATGGGGTGGGTGAGTGGGTGGGTGGGTAGATTGGTAGGTGGGTCAATGTGTCGCTAGGTGGGTGGGTTGGTAGGTGGGTAGGTGATGGGTGGGTAAGTGGATAGGTGGCTGGGTGAGTGGTCGTGGGTGATGGGTGGTGGTGGGTGGTGAATGGTGGTGGGTGATGGGTGGTGGATGGTTGGCGGGGGTTGGGCTGGGTGAAGGTAGAATGGGATGAGCAGCAGTGGGGTAGGTGGGGATCAAGCAGAGTGGGTTGGGTTGGGTATGGTGGGATGAGGTAGAGTGGGTTGGGCAGGGTATGGTGGGATGAGGTATAGTGGGTTGGGCAGGGTACAGTGGGATGTGGTAGAGTGGGTTGGGTAGGGTACGGTGGGATGAGGTAGAGTGGGTTGGGCAGGGTACGGTGGGATGAGGTAGGTGGGTTGGGCAGGGTACGGTGGGATGAGGTAGACTGGGTTGGGCAGGGTACGGTGGGATGCGGTAGAGTGGGTTGGGCAGGGTACGGTGGGATGATAAGGTGTGCTATGATAAGGTATGCTATGATAAGGTGTGCTATGATAAGGTGTGCTATAATACAGTGTGCTATGATAAGATGTGCTATGATAAGGTGTGCTATAATAAGGCGTGCTATTATAAGGTGTGGTCTGATACAGAGTGATGATGAGTGTGGTTTGAGTAATTCTTTGGTTTGCTACATTGATTGGTACGCAACGTTGTTTGGTATGGTACATCGATTGGTATGCTACATTGATTGGTATGCTACATTGATTGGTATACTACATTGATTGGTATGCTACATTGATTGGTATGCTACATGGTTTGGTATGCTACATTGATTGGTATGCTACTGTGATTGGGTGAAATGGGCTGGAACGCCTTCCCTTCTTTTCTCTTTTCTCTGTACCGTCCCTTCTCTGTGAGCCGTCCCTTCTCTGTGAGCCGTCCCTTCTCTGTGAGCCGTCCCTTCTCTGTGAGCCGTCCCTTCTCTGTTTGCCGTCCCTTCTCTGTGTGCCGTCCCTTCACTGTGTGCTGTCCCTTCTCTGTGTGCCGTCCCTTCTCTGTGTGCCGTCCCTTCTCTGTGTGCCGTCCCTTCTCTGTGTCCCATCCTCATTTGTTCCATTCTCGTCCACAGGCGTTCGTTCCCTTTTCCTGGGGGCCATGCATGTGCAGCTTCCCTCCCAAGGCACGGGTGAGCGTGTGCAGGATCCCTGCCATTTATTCAACAACTCATGCTCACATGTTTGTGACCCCTTCCCTTTGCCTCAGGGCCACCCATGTGCATGGGCTGGGCAACACACCGTCCTCCACCGATGCAAAGGTGGTGACGGCGCCCATCCTTGGATGCTTCTCATGCCGCCTTTCACCTGCCTCGTACCACGTCCCCTCCCATCACAGCAGTTAGGCACTCTGCAGACTAGATTGGGTACATGTGCCTAGCGGGAAATCCCACCATCAATTCATAGGACTTCAATGATGTGCAATTCCTATTCATATGTTGGGAATTGATCGAAATGAAAAAAATGATGTCGTGAGGTATTTTATAAAATGTGTCCCAGGCTACATCAAACCAGTGGCATATTGAAATTTGCAGTGTGGATGTGCAAAAATGCATTTATGAGTAGCTTTGCTCAAATCTCCAAGGTGTTCCTCGTTTTAATAACTTATCATCTTTTGCATGTTCAATAACCTTGCGCCTCGACTTTGCCGCCAACTCTCTTCGAAAGTTGTCAGGTCTCGTGTCTGACACCAGGTGTCCTTGAGCCAGCAATTTCTTTCACCGCCTCAACCCGTCCGCACATCTCATTCCACCCCTCCCAACCCAGGCACCTCCCAAACCAACGCACTTCCCAACCCAACCCAACGCACCTCCCCTCCTCCCGCTTTCGATTCTCCTGCAGCATCAATCACAGCAGTTGTACTCACCAGAATTCAGCCGCACTGCCGCCACCTGAAGCAAGGGAGTCCCAAGGCATCTCCTCGCCTCCTTTCTTCGCTTCCATGGCTTCACCAGCAGATCTTTCAGGCTTCGCTCTTAACTCCAGGTCCAGATACGTGAGCTGCTGGTCGCACTAGCCCTAACTTCACTTGCATACCTGCACTAACCTAACGGTTGCGGTTTAGTTGACGCGACTCGGTCTGCCAATCATTAAGTCTATGTCTTTCTAAGCCGAATATAGTTAGGGCGGTGTGAAGTAGCTAAGCTGATACCGAGTTAAGGCTAATGCGACGCTAAGCTGCTAGTTCAGCCGTTATTCAGCGTCGCTGCAGTTCATTTTAACAACGTACTCGTTATATAGGTATCGATATTTACCAGAAAAATGGCGTCGTCACTGCTATAGCTGTCGAAATTTAGCTGCTGCTTCTGCCGAAAAAGTGACGTCGCTGCTGTTGCTACCGTCATAACAACTTCAACTACGGTTCCCGGCGTTCAAAGCGACGTTTAGGGCGTAGTTGTTTTGAAGCTGACGTTTTAAACACAGCTGACGTTTTAAACTAGCTGACGTTTCAAACATAGCTGACGTTTTAAACATAGCTGACGTTTCAAACATTGCTGACGTCTTTTCGTCGTGAAGCCAACGTTGATGCCATTTCCGCGAACTAAGCGACGTCCCTGCCGCGACGAGACGAGAGCAACGACTGCAGCAGCAGCAGCAGCATGAGCAGCATGAGCAGCGACGGGTCAACCTGGAACACGGGAAGCAGCAGCATGCTGCTTGGAACACGTGGCGCAGCAGCAACCGAGCAAACTGGAGCAACGAGCGTCAGAGGCAACGACGCAGAGCTGGTCACGACGAGACGGGAGCAGCGTCTGCATCAGCAGCAGGTGCAGCGATTAGTTGAACACGGGCAACTGGGCGACGACGCAGAGCTGGTCACGACGAGACGGGAGCAGCGTCTGCAGCAGCAACAGGTGCAGCGATTAGTTGAACACGGGCAACTGGGCGACGACGCAGAGCTGGTCACGACGAGACGGGAGCAGCGTCTGCAGCAGCAGCAGGTGCAGCGATTAGTTGAACACGGGCAACTGGGCGACGACGCAGAGCTGGTCACGACGAGACGGGAGCAACGTCTGCAGCAGCAGCAGGTGCAGCGATTAGTTGAACACGGGCAACTGGGCGACGACGCAGAGCTGGTCACGACGAGACGGGAGCAACGACCGAGCAGCCAGGCGTGACGACTCATATGAAAGCGTGGCGCAGGAGCGAAAGAGCGGTTTATGGGAGCGACAGGCACATGGTACGTGCCAGGGAAGCTTGCTGGGGGAAGTGTAGTGAGTCGCCGCGCAGAGGCAAGAGTCGTGTCTCTTGCCCTTGCCTCCACCACTCGCCTCCTCTCCTGCTGATCGCAACCCTTCCTTTTGTGTGCGTGTTTTCTCTTCTCATGCCTTTGTGTGCCTCACGGCCTGCGGAATGGCGCGGAGTGGACGCGGAATGGCGCGGAGTGGACGCGGAATGGCGCGGAGTTGACGCGGAATAGCGCGGAGTGGACGCGGAATAGCGCGGAGTGGACGCGGAGTGGACGCGGAATGGCGCGGAGTGGACGCGGAGTGGGCGCGGAGTGGCACGGAGTGGACGCGGAATGGCGCGGAATGGCGCGGCGTGGCGCGGAGTGGGCGCGGAATGGACGGGAGTTGAAGTATCGCAGGGCGTCGCCGTTGCTGGCTCGCCTGAAGTGAAGGCGGGGCACATGAGTGGGAGAGTGGTGGACGGAGCATGGTACGTGCCAGGGGGTGCTTGAGGGGGGCATTGAAGTCTCGTAGGGAGTCGCCGCGCAGAGGCAAGAGTCGTCACCATTCGTCTCCTTCCTCCTGCTTCTAACTCTCCCTTGTTGCGCCGTTTCTGTGTGCGTGTCGTTCTTCCCATGCGTGTGTGTACCTTACGGCCTGTGAGATGGAGGCGAATGGCGCGGAATGGCGGAATTGCATGGAGTGGAGTGGAGCTTACGTTGCAGGCTCGCACGAGGGACAACCGTTCAGCGAGGAGAAGGGGCAGCACCGGCTAGGCACATTGGCACATCAAAGGCAGACACACGGTGGCGGTCGTGACGAGAGCAATGACTGCAGCAGCAGCAGCAACCGAGCAACCAGGAGCAGCACACACGCCTCAAGTGAAAGCGTGGCGCAGGAGAAGCAGAGTGGCGGGCGGGGTGTGGTAAGTGCCGGGGGGTGCTTGCAGGGGGGCATCAAAGAGAGTCGTAGGCGTCGCCGCGCAGAGGCAAGAGTCACGTCTGTTGGTTTGTCCTCTGCCACTCGCCTCCTGCTGCTTCTGACCCTCCCTTGTCGCGCTGCTTCTGTTTGTGTCCCTCTCCCCTGTGCATGTGTGGCCTCACGACCCATAAGGCGGGCGGAAATGGCTGCGAGTGGACGGGAAATGGACAGGAATGGGCGGGGCTGCTGTTGCTCGATCGCACGAGGAGCAGCACGCGTCACGTGAAGGCACGGAGCGTGGTACGTGCCAGGGAGTGCTTGCAGGGGGGGGCTGAAGAGAGTCGTAGGGCGTCGCCGCGCAGAGGCAAGAGTCGAGTCTGAAGGCATTGCCTCCACCATTCGCCTCCTGCTGCTTCTAAACCTCCCTTGTTGCACCGCTTCTCTCTGTGTGCGTCTCTCCCTTAGCGTTTGTGTGCCTCACGGCCTGTGAGACTGGGAGTGGCAGGGAGTGATGGAGGCACAGCAGCAGCATTGCAGCGCTGGTCACGTGTAGCAGCAGTAGCAACGACGGGCGACCTGGAGCAGCACGCCTGAAGCCTGAAGCCCGGGCAGCAGCGGGGTATCGCTTGGGGTGAAGGCGTGGTGAAGGAGCGGCAGGCTCTGCCAAGGAGCGTGGTACGTGACAGGTGGTGCTTGCGAGGGGGGGCAGTGAAGAGAGTCGTAGCGTGTCGCCGCACAGAGGCAAGAGTCGTATCGTTTGCCCTTGCCTCCGCCACTCGCCTCCTGCTGCTTCTGACTCTCCCCTGTTCCACTGCTACTGTCTGCGTGCATCTCTCTCTCAAATGGTCCTTTGTATTAATTCAGCAGGGGGTACAGACGTGCAATTTGACTCGTGGTTCCCTTATACCTTCCGACCCATCAACCCATCCCTCTGACCCTCCCCCCCCCCCCCCCCTTAGTGCCCCTCTAACCCTCCAGCGTGTGGAGGATGTCCCCTAGGTGCAGCGGCCATGGGTCCGCTGCCATCTGGGGGTGCGCTGCCTCAATCCCCGCCCTGGCCTTGGTGTGCAGGGCATTCGCCTGGGAGCGCTGGAGGGCCACTGACCAGCGCTGGCTGAAGTGGCAGGCCATCTTCTTGGCCGATTTGGCCAAGGGGTTGGCCCTGAACCTGTTCCTAGCCGCTGCTGTGGCCAGCAGCTTAATGAACGCTGTCGTGGGGGGCGCGTTTGCCCCGTATGTCTCGACGGCCAGGGCGCAGAACACCACGTGTTCAGTGTGCCTGTAGTAGTCCCTCTCCTTCCGCCTCTGTGCCTCCCTTGCAGCCCAGCCTGGGGGTTTGCGGGCTGTGGGGTCCCGGTTCTGTAGCACAGGGTCGGTGATAGTCGTGTCTGTGATCCAGGTCTCTCCACTGTCTGGGTCACGCACGATCACATCGGTCTTCTTCGGGTCATCCGGTGGTGAGTACATTGCATTCTCCAGGTATACCACCAGCTGCGCCTCCCTCGCCATTTTTGCCACGGCAAAGGCCAGCTGGTTGTGTGTGCGCGTTCTGTCCGGGCCTGTGCTGCAGCGGAGTAGGTGGTTGGGTAGGCTGCATGTGTGTGCCTCATGGCCTGTGAGACGGGGAATGGCAGGGAGTGGACGGCGGGTGACAAGTGTGCGGGCTTCGTTCCGGCCCGAGACACAGCAGCACCGCTGGTGACTTGAAGCAGCAGCAGCAGCGCTGGTGAGTGAAGCAGCGCCTTGACTTTTCAGGCAAGTATGTTCTCTGAACTCTTTGCCTTTTGTGATGCCACGCGCTCATCACTTGTCGTGCATGCATGTGCTTAACTGCTCTCTGAAATCTCGCCACTAGCTGGTTTTGGCCTGACTCACAAGCCACAGTCCCTTGTTCTTGCAGGTATCAGCAGCAGACAACCAGCAACCTGGAGCAGCGCGCCTAACACCTGGAGCAGCGCCCAACACCTGGAGCAGCGCCTAACACCTGGAGCAGCGCCTAACACCTGGAGCAGCGCGCCTAACACCTGGAGCAGCACCTAACACCTGGAGCAGCGCGCCTAACACCTGGAGCAGCGCCTAACACCTGGAGCAGCGCGCCTAACACCTGGAGCACGGGCAGCAGCAGATGCTGCTTGGGCCGAATGTGAGGCGCAGGAGCATAAGTGGTACGTGCCAGGGGATGCTTGCAGGGGGCTGTCAGTCATAGGATGTTGCCGCGCAGAGGCAAGAGTCGTGTCTGTTGGTTGCAGGTCGAC